GGGAGGGAGGGAAGTTAAGAAATTAGAGATGGAAACAGCATGTTACAATATCTTGGAATAAAATGCAGAGTATCTTTGGGAATCCTATAACTTGCATTACAAAATAAAAAATGAACAAACAACAAAACAAAAACCCTAGAAAATCTGGAGGAAATGAATAATTCCTACAAATACATGACCTACCAAAATTAAGTCAAGAAGACACAGACAACTTAAGCAGCTGCTACAGGTACCTAAGTTGGGATAGTAATAAATGTGCCCACAAATTGGCACACGGTACGGGACGGCTCACTGCCACAGTCTCCCATACTGTTAAGAGGAAGCCAACACCAGAACTCTTCAAACTGCTCCTCAAAGCAGAAAGGGGAAGGAACACTACCACGTATCAAACCAGCACCTGACATCAAACTAGACAGGACACAACAACAGCAAAAAGAAAACTACACACCAAATTCTCCGACAACTACAAAATTCCTTAAAAATATTGTAAATCGATTTCGAGAACACATTAATAAGATCACACACTGTAAAAGTTAGTTTCATCTCAGGGATGTAAGCCTGGTTCAACATATCCACACCTATAAAAGTAATACAACGGACAAAAAGATTTCGTGACAAAAATCACATGAGCACATCTATCAATGCATTAAAGGCCTTTCACAAAGTCCAACATCCCTTCATGACAAACCCCTTGAGAAAGCAGAAACAGAAGGGATGAACCTCAACATAGTAAGAGTTAAATATGACATTTCACTAAATGGGGAATTTCATCTAAAATTAGAAAGGAGACGAGGGTAACCACTCTCCACTCTTCAACACAGTGCTAGAAGTCTTACTGGACTAGTGAGACGAGAGAGAAATGAAAGACACACACACACACACACACACACACACACACACACGGAACAAAAGAGGCAATTCATCCCTATTTCCACATGACGTGACGCCATCTTCAAAAGATCCTAAGGACTCCACCAGAAACTTTGCACTGTTGATTTTTATCGCATTTTTTTTGTTTACTTTAGGTATTTGTTGTTCATTGTTGTAGCTTTGGCTAGCCTAGAACTTGCCATGTAGACCAGGCTGGGCTTGAACTCAGAGATCTAGCTGTCTACCTCTACTGCCCAAGTCCTAGGATTAAAGGCATGCACCACCACTCTTACTGGGCTGGTTTAGTGTTAAACTAGGGTCTCGTTGTACTGGCTATAGAACTCAGTGTGAAGCCCAGGCCTCAAACTCACAGTGATCCTCCTGTTTCAGCCCTCAGAGTGCTGGGATTACAAGTGTGTGATTCCATGCCTGGCTTCTACCAGAAAGTCCTTAGACCTGGTAAGACTCTTAGAAAAGTGGCAGGAAACAAAACCAACAAAGATAGGCATCCTTATTATGAACCAATAACAAACTTGTCAAAACAACTCTAAGGGGGGGGAGGAGGGAAAGGTCACTTCTAAAAATCAAATTAGAAGCTGGGCAGTGGTGGCACATGCCTTTAATCCCAGTACTGGGGAGGCAGAGGCAGGCGAATCTCTGTGAGATCGAGGCCAGCCCAGCCTGGTCTACAAGAGCTAGTTCCAGGACAGGCTCCAAAGCGTGTCTCGAAAAACAAACAAAAAATCAAATTAGAAATAAATCCAATAAAAGAGGTGAAATACCTCTATGAGGAACACTTTAAAGCACAATCGGAAGAAGAAGCTAGAAGGAAAGCCTCCCATGTGCTGACAGAATATTATAAAAATGGCTGTATTATTGAAAATGATCTGCAGATTCAAAGCAATCAAAATCCCAAAGATATTTTTCAAAGAAGAAAAAAAATCCTAAAATTCACGAGGGCACACAAAAGACCCCCAATAGTCAGAGTGATCCTTAGCAGAAAGAAGGATGCTCTCATCTCAGGTATACTGCAGAGCCATAGTAACCAAAACCCTATGGTACTGACATAAAAACATGGATGCCATAGAATAGAAGCTCTAGTGAGCCCACACAGCTACAGAGACCTAACTTCTGATAAAAGTTTAAAGACCACACAGCGAAGAAAGGCTGCCTCTCTAGTAAACGGTAGCGGGTAGTCTTCCTTTCTGGAAGTCCTAAGGCTGACCCATCAAGAACTGTCTTCCTATCGGCTACCCTGCCATCGGTCCCAAAATTGATCATATCTTACTTTTCTTTCATTGGCTGTTCTCCACCCTTGTCATCATTTCTACATAGAAGCTAATTCTATGTAGGAGCTATGCTTTATTTATATGCCTAGCTAGAATCCAGACCACTTTAGAACACTCACGCATAAAGCCCTGAGTTATAGAAAAACCTTCTGACACTGTTAGCATGGCCAGACTAAACGGTGCCAACATCGTACTGGAATGGGAAACAGACGTTCTGGATGTATCTCCTTGGCACACAGCATTAAACTGTATACCTAAAAAGTACTTCCGGAATAAGTATGGAGTCAAATGCGATGAAAACTTCTGCAGCACGCTCTTACTCGGGACGTCTTTCCCCTTCAAACACCATGGTTAGTTTGCTACTATCAATGTTTTGTCATTTACAGTCCAGAAGCCATAGAAGGATCCACTCCATCCCCTAATGAATCATTTGGAATTCCAGCAAGAACTATTTTTATTGACTTGAATGTCTCATAACGGGGCCTTAAATAGGATTCCTGCAAGAAATACCACGCTGGGAAATAAGTCATAAAGTTCATAAGCAAAAGGAACCTGAAGAGGAAGAGTTCATTTCATCTCACAGTTTACAGTCCACCACAAAAGGAAGTCAGGGCATGAACTCCGGACAGAAACCTGAAGGCCAGTGGTTCTCAATCTGTGGGTCACGACCCCAGGGTCAAAGGACCCTTTCACAGGGGCATAACACCACTGGAAAACAGATATTTACATTACGAGCCATAACAGTAGCAAGGTTACAGTTATGAAGTAGCAACGAAAATAATTTTATAGCTGGGGGTCACCACAAGAAGAGGTGGGCAGCATTAGGAAGATGAGAACCACTTTTGGAGGCAGAGGCCAGGGAGGAACGCAGCATACTGGCTTGCTTTCTGGTTCTGCCCAACCTGGTTTTCTTACATAATGAGCTAGTCAGTTAGCAAGAAAACGCTCCTGCAGACTCGCCCCCGAGGCCAATCTGAGGGAGACCATTCCTCGAGGCAGTCTCAGTCTTCCTAGGTGCATCAGCTTCACCAGCAAGAATAGCCAGAACGCAGGAAGTACCAACCCAAGGGCAAACCTGCAGGGTGTATTTCTTCACCTCTTTTTCTTTTAAATAAATTGTAACTTTGACACAGACAAGGCCCAGACAGATAAGAACTTCTCTATCCCCGGTCTTGGTTACAAGTGTAAATTAACCCACCTACCCCTTTCATTTATTTTTATTTTTTTGTCTTAATAGGACCCAGAGCTAAGTTTTACAGTCAGCTCTGGCTAAATTTCAACTCCAGATTTCAACAAGCTCATTTCTTCCGCTACCCTGCTTCCTACATATGCCGCAGTATTCACCAAACTATTGTACTTTTGCATGAGTTTCCTTGGAAATCTAACTTTCAGAGAGTAGCGTTCTGGGGCGGTTCTTCGGGGGCGTTTGGCCACACAGAACAAGGTTGACCTCCCGGGTGCACCCGGCCTAGGGCCGCGACCCCTGAGCAAGGCGTCAGCCGAGGTCACGACAGCCACCCAGCTAGTACTACCCGGACCCTCAGAACGACCAGACGGCCTCCTGGGGCACCCACGCACCTGCTTGGCGATCCCGGTGGACGTCCTCGGCTCCGGACGGTCGGCTCCTGGGTCCCCCGCAGCCAGCGTTCCAGCCGCGGTGCTTCCGCTCGGGTGCAGCGGGGCGGGGCGGGGCGCAGCGGGGCGGGGCCGTGGCTGCGTCTCCAGAATCCCGGGCCTGCGCCGTCGCCAGCGCCCCTTAGCGCCTAGCGGAGTGTCTCGACACCGTCCCCGCTGGCCGGCTGCTTTCCAGATCAACCTAGCCTTCAGGACTTTCGGTTTCGTCTCTGAGACTGTAAATTGCCAGTAGGGGTAAATCCAAATTTTGAATCTGGGAGACGTAATGTTTGGAGACTTTGACAGAGAAGTAACTGTGGATGGGTGCTAGGTAAAGTACTGGAATCTCAGGACAGGTAAGAAACAAGTTTCCCAAATGTTTGGGATCAAACCGAAGTTAGGGCTGAAGAGATAGCTCGTGGGTAGAGTACTTGACTAACTCTCGGGGGACGCCTGAATTCGAGTTTCAGCATCATCAGTGGAACAAAAGGAAAACTTCCTGAGTTTGAAGCGCACAATAGATCCGCCTCTAACCGGGGACTCGAGGGCTAGGGCTATACCGGTCAGCTGGCTGATAGTCTCACATGCGAGGGTCCTGGGTGCTGGGTTCAGAAATGTACCGAGTGGGGACTAATTTGGAAATAATTTGATTCCTCAGAATAAGATGACCGAAATGAGAAAGGTCTAGAACAGAGAAGTGAAGGAACGGGGCTGAGTGCTGGCGCCACGATTTATTGCTGGCGAGTTGTAGACAAGGTACTTACTTCACCTGGGTGCAGGGTTCAAGTTTCATCATACAACCTATTTTATGAGGTTGTATCTGAATCACTCTATACGGGACGTAACTATTCGCTTCTATAATCCCAGCACTGGGGAAGCAGAGGCCGGAAGAATCTAAGCAGAGCCTGGCCAAACAGCTAGTTCCAGGCTGGGCCAGGCTGCAAAGGGAGACACTATTCTTTTTTTTTTTTTTTTTTAAGATACGGTCTTACTGTGTAGCCCTGGCTGGCCTGGAACTCACTGTGTAGACCAGCCTGGCCTCTACCTCACAATGAAATGATCCACCTCCTGCCTCTGGAGTTACTACGCCAAACAGGGAGACCCTATCTTTCAAAAAGAAATCAGCTTATGATTTAAAAGACAAATGGAAATGTGTAACACAATCCTTACAAAGCTCATCAACAGGCACACGGTGTGTAAAGGTATAATTTGTGACCGAACCCTGTAGGCGTGGAAAGATGGAGATGTACAATGAACATAGTTTTTTGTGTGTTTTCACATGAATCGATCATATTTTTATATAAAAAGACCAAGGCACCAGAAATATTCTATATTCAACAATTCTAGGTAAATTTATCATAATAAAAATCATAGAAAATACCATCTCTGAACCTCAATAAGATGAAACTGGAAACCTGGAACAGGGAAAATTGACGGCAGAAAATACATGGGAGTGAATGTTTCCACAAAGGACGTTAGGAATCATGCACACCAACACTGGCGAGACATAGTAAAAGTGTTCTAAAGGAAATTCACACTTGTGAAAGCCTGCATTTGTATACGTGTGTGTACGTGCGCACGCCCGCGTGCATGTGAGCACGGAGGCTCCCACAGCCAGAGGACAGCTTTGAGAGGTGGCTCTCACCTTCCACTGTGAATCCCGCAGGTTGAACTCAAGCCATCAGTCATGGGGAACAAGTGCTTTTACCTTGAGCTGAGCCACTTCGCAGGCCTGAATACTTACATTTAAACAAGAGAAGGCCAAACCGACAATCTGACTCCACACTCTAGGAACCAGGAAAAAAGGAAAATGAAACAAAACAAACAATAGGAAAAAAACAAAACAAACAAAACAAAAAGCCGCCTGGTGTCAAGGCTCTCGCCTGTAGTCCCAGAGTCTGGAAATGCTGAGGGAGGGCTGCTGTACTGCTATAAACGTGGGGCTATGGTGGACTACGTAGTAAGTTCTCGGCCAGTCTGGGTTACAAGGTAAGACCCTGCCTCAAGAAATATATATAATCAGAAAGTATAAAATGGTTTATCTAATTACTGTATAATGTAAAGCATCACAGATGTGTAATAGAACATTATATAAGGGTCTAGAGGCATGTGATGGCAATTTTACTGTTACCTTGGCACTCAAGAGGTCAAGGCTGGATGATTATAAGTTTGAGGCCAGCCTCGGCTAGCCTCAAATTTATTTAAAAATAAAATTAAAAAAATACCAAGCCAGGGGGCTGGAGAGATAGCTCAGCGGTTAAGAGCAGTGGCTGCCCTTCCAAAGGTCCTGAGTTCAATTCCCAGCAACCACATGGTGGCTCACAACCATCTATAATGAGATCTGGTGTTCTGGTATGCAAGCAGAATACATATATACACAATAAATATACATAAAAAAAATACCAAGCCGGGCGGTGGTGGCACATGGCTTTAACCTCAGCACTTGGGAGGCAGAGACAGGTGGAGCTCTGTGAGTTCGAGGCCAGCCTGGTCTATAAGAGTTAGTGCCAGGACAGGCTCCAAAGCTACACAGAGAAACCCTGTCTCGAAAAACAAACAACAACAACAACAAAAAATTATTTGGCTTACTGATAGAGCCCTACTTAGTTTGTAAAAAGTCCTGGTATGGATCTCTAGCACTAAAATTGAATGAAAAAAAAAGAGGGAAGATAGCTCAGGTTAGCACGGTCAGTAAAGTGCTCAACACATCAGCCGATCAGCAGAAGACCTGCATTCAATTCCCAGCATCCAGACAATAAAATAAAATGTCTGTGCACAGTAGCACATGCTTGTAGCCTCTGTGCAGGGCAGCCTCAGAAATAAAATTAAAAAGTGGGAAGCAGCCGGGCGATGGTGGCGCACGCCTTTAATCCCAGCACTCGGGAGGCAGAGGCAGGCGGATCTCTGTGAGTTGAGACTAGCCTGGTCTACAGAGCTAGTGCCAGGGCAGGCTCCAAAGCCACAGAGAAACCCTGTCTCGAAAAACCAAAAAAAA